TGTTTTATTACTCCATCATCATCATAATAATGATAAAATAAACCTTCTGCCCTTATATTCAGTTTCATAGCTCTATTAGTTTTCAAAAAGGTTAAAAGTCTATCTTTTTGGTGGTGTATCATTGATAGTGCCTTTTCACCTTGAAAATGTTTATTTACTAGTTTTATAGAATTAGCATAACTTTTGAAAGCTGATTGTTGGTCTGTTACTTGGAATTTATTTTTGATTGCATATTTTGTCATTGCATTTTTCATTCTTTGTTTTAGGTATGTTGAGCGCAATGTTTTTGTTGCATAGCTATTATACTCATTAGTTCTTGCTTCTGATTTTAATTTCTTGTTCAAAACATTTGAGATGGGTTTTTCTTTGTTGTGTCTAAATTTTCTACCATCTATAATTATTGATTTTAATTCCTTGTTTCCTCTTTTTGGAATTTCTGCTTTATCATTATTCAACAGATAATCTATAACATGTTTCATAATACTATACTATATAAATTTAATGTGTTTATTTCTTTAAGTGGCTTTTTAGAAAAATATACTTAAAGATTTAAAACCTTAATATAATAAGAGGAAAATGAATGGTGATAAAATCAATAATTGTATCAATAAAAAATGCTATGATTGTTGTCACTTCAAAAAAGAAAATATGGAATTGTATAAATTAAATTTACCTAATGAAATAGTGAATAATATTATTAATTATTCAATGGATGAAGAAGATTTATGTAAAATTTGTAGAAATTGGAGATATTATCAAGAATTAATCAGATGTCTGTTGGGAATAAAAAGAATTCGACATAGAAATGTAGAAGATGATATTTTAATATTTCTAACTGTAAATAAAATACCACCTTATGATTATGTTAAACAGTTTCTTAAAATTAGTAAGAAAAATATGAAATGATGGATGATATATTATGGTTGTTGTGTTATAGTCAAGATAAAGGAGAAGATGTTAAAGAAAATATCAAATTATTTATTGAAAGTAAAAAGTTTAATATTCAAAATACATTGAGAGATATTAATATTATTTTTAAAATGATGTATGAAAGAAGAAAGATTTGTCAATTAAATTATTATCCTGTACTGAAATTATAATCATACTATAATAATAACATGTAAAATCTTATATGTTATAATTATACTGTACTTATGGTTTGTAAAGATTGAAATATTTTATTTTTCCTAATTTGCTTGTCTCTTTCAAAGTGCGTTGTTTGAACTTGGCATGCTCTTTTGATTTTTTCGTGCTTTGGCTGTTTGTATTTTATTTTGTTTGATACTCTTCTGATATTTTTTGATGGTATGTTGCTTTGTTTTTGATTTTGTGTGTTTTTGAGTTTGTGTTCTTTGATGGTTTTTATTTTTGCTGTTTTGTTGGTATGCTTGTTTGAATTATTTAATGTTTTATGCTTTGATTAAATATTTTGTTGGGGGTTGTTCTGGTTTTTGAGTTGCTTGGTGGTTCTTATCTTGTTTTCTGTGAATTTTGCTGATTTTGTTGTATGCTGTTTGATTATTTGGTTTTGATGCTACAAGTGCCATTTTATGTATTTTTGGGGGACCGGGGGGGGGGGGCCCCCTATTAATCAAGAGCAAAGATTACACACTTAAACTCCAGATGGAGGGTGCTAATCTTTCGAGTACAACTGATGAGTCTCGAGTACAACTGATGAGTCTCGAGTGGGTGTAGGTTCGGCTTGCATTCACTTGGTTTCCGTCTAGCAGCGAACACGTTACCCGAAAGAACAAGAAGCACAAACAGCGCCGCAACCAAGGGGGCCAAATAGACATTTGCAAAACTGGTGCAGGTACACATCAAGGCGTCCCTTGATGCATCCACTCATCCTCGATAGCTTCGTTGGCGTGGCTACGAGGAGACCGCCACGCCCCCTGCTACTCATAGTGGTGACAGGGCATTCTGTCACTCCGCACACACACACACGGAAACGCACTCAGACGACACAACAAGCAAAGAGGCAAACAAACGAACAAACAAACAACCAATGGACAAAGCAAAAAAAAAAAACACAAACAAGCAAATAAACAACAAACAAACAAACAAACAAACAAACAAACAAACAAACATTTCAAACAAACAAACAAACAAACACACAAACAGACAGACAAACAAACAAACAAACAAACAAACAAGCAAACAAACACCATCTGTGAAACACATCATCAAACTCAGAACAACAAACAAACCAATAAATGAATCATACAATCAATCACTCAATCAATCAATCAATCAATCAATCACTCACTCACTCACTCAATCAATCAATCAATCAATCAAATCAAGCAATCAATCTAATCCAATCCAATCAATCAATCAAATCAATCAAAACAATCAACCAACCAATCAATCAATCAAATAAATCAAAGCAAATCAAATCAAATCAATCAAATCAAATCAAAGCAATCAAATCAACCATCAATCAATCAATCAATCAATCAATCAACCAACCAACCAACCAACCAAATCAATCAATCAATCAATCAATCAATCAATCAATCAATCAATCAATCAATCAACCAACCAATCAATCAATCAAATCAATCAATCAAGCAAGCAATCAATCAATCACTCAACCAACCAAACCAACAACCAGACAGACCAATCACAAACACACAAACACACAAACAAATACATAACCAAACCAAACAAACCAACACACACACACAGAGACACAATGCCTATTCATGTGCCTCAATGCAACTGTTTAGAACAACTGCGTGCAATCTGCTGCCAGTGCTTGCGATGCCAAATTTCAGGGCTCTGCCTCATGACGGGGGCTGTTTGAGGGGCCAGCCAGCTGGCTGCTTGGGCGCCAGGCCCACCCTGCTCAGGACCTTGCAGCACTTGCTGTTGCGGTTGCCGGGGGGGGGGGGGGGGCAGGCTGGAATAGGTGAAACATGCAACCAGCTGAGCAAATGTGGAGAATGCGGCCTGCCAGCCTAGCATCACGGTTGCCCAACTCAGCATCCGGCCTTGTGCTCGATTGATCTCACGCACTTCCGAGCGTTTCGGCGCCACATGCTCGTAGACCTGAGGCATCCGGATATCTCGAGTGCACACTTGGCCTCCCCATATGTATCAATTTTGCTCTTCGAATAGGCCAAACTTAAGAGAGTCATTGTCAGACCACTGCCGCTCTGTGGCTAAGCCTCCGCACACGGCTTCGCCAGCCCTTGGTGATGCCAGGCAGCTCAGAATGCTCAGGCCTCGGGCGCACTCTTCTGAGGCAGTCATTACACGCAGTCATTACACGCAGGAGCCGCCAGCAAAGTACGTAGGCCAAAGTAGACTCACTGATAGCGGTGAACTTGAAAGCAGCAGCTCATGTCCTGAAATGGCGCATGCAATCGGATGTTTCGAACACAACACACAAACTAAATAGCCCATGCGCATCCATGCGCAGCAGTGCTGCACGCCTTTCTGACCCAAGACATGAGCTAGCTGACTTGTGTAGTGTAAAGCTATTCATGTGCGTGTCATGCTTCCTCATGTCGCCTGCTGGTTTCCAACTGCCACATGCATCATATCATGGACAAGCTGAGCTTTTTCTGTGACTGTTCGATCATCATGCTTCTCAGTCGCTACCTTCTAGGAAGAGAAACTGGTTCGACACGCAATGGCAATACAAGGCACGCTCACTCTTCCCTGTATCAAATTGTCATACGGGTGAGCGAAGAGCAAGCATCAGTTTAAGCAGACTTGCGCTGCCACTTATCAAGCATTGCTCTCTTTGAAGCATAGATGAAGAGCGCGTGGAACGGATGAAAGAGGGAACCCATGCTGGAATGGGATGGTGCGGCCTTGCGATTTTACCTTTTTGGCATGGCAGGCCTAAGAGAACCACCCCGGTCACAATGCCAGGCCGAATCCTGCGAAACTTCACAGCCCAAGGGGAACGATCTGCAGCTTGAGGCCTGGACAGGCGTCTCAGGCCCATGGGCATGATGACAGGGTGCTCCTGAGTGAAGTGCAAGCCCAGACTTTTCTTCGAGCCGATGCACTTCAAAGAGATTGGGATAGTACGGCTGCATCGCTTATCACAAGGCCCAGGCATTGCGCAAGCAAATGTATAGAACAAAATGAGCTCCATCAAAGTGACCAAGGAAGCCCGCGACTTCAACAATTCCTGCAAACACAACACAACCGCTTAAATAGTAAGCTACAAACCAGGATGGGAACGCGATCATCTGCATGAGACGACAAGTAACTGGGCTGTCCTCAGATCCCCTGCCAAAAGTTTAACTTTTGGTGAGTTGAATGCAAACCCCCGCTAAACGCTAAAGACCTAAAACATCAGGGGGACGGCTGGGAACCGCCAAGGTAAAGCAGCGCCGTACAGTCTGAATTCCCAGCTGCGAATGATCAATCGGGCATACAACTTGTCTGAACACACATAATGTGGTCTGCCCCTAAGTGTTGGCAAACACATGTGGGACAGCTCATGAATCTGTAATTAGGTAGAAATGGTAGAAGTACAAAGTATAGCATGTGTGCCCGCAGTGATTGCTTTTGCACGGGGCCTCACCTACCTCGGCCGCCTGGACGGACTTCCGAACTTCACTGGGAAAGCATCTCCAACTACATTTTGTCGAATTTGCAGGCCACCACACCACACAGGCATACACAGACTATCCCTCTTGCATGATCTTCCAAAGAGCAAAGCAAACATGCAACTTCCAGACCCCGCCTCTGCGATTTGTTTCTTCATCGTCTCGCCTGAAATGCCCAAGCTCTGTGCCAAAATTTACAATTGGCAGCCCCGACTGGCGCATTTACTCTGCCATGACCGTCCCCATTGCCAGAAGTTACCTAGCAATATGGACAGCCACCAGCCAGACGGATGACCGCAGCTTCAGCTGTCAGCCATCCGTGTCTGAATGCAGGTGCCATTAGGTGCCAACCAAGTGCCCGGCTAAAATTCCCGTAGCTCATGGCCATTCGAAGGTTTGACTCCTGGATAGAACTTTCAGCACGGCTCAAAAGCGGTCTGTGTGAATGTCGCGGGCAGCTTTCCCGCCATCCTTCTCAAACTCGCCCTTCTGCATCAACAGCCAGTCCTCAGCACGTGAAAGCACGCAAAAAGAACAAGGCACGGAGCATGAACTAGCTGATTGAATGGCTGAAACGGTAAACGAAACACTACCCATTTTTGGGCAGTTCCCCTAGTGCCCTAAGCTCTCAAGCACCGGGTGCCAGGCGCTTGGCGAGTAGCGCCGATTATCTTCCATCTGCAGCATGGTGGCTAGGGTGGGCCTCAGGGTGTGTGCGGGGATGGCCTGGGGACTGCGGCGTGCGCAACATCAACCTGGAATGTACTATGAAATTACTTTTTTTTTTTGTTCTTTTCTTTTCTTCGATGCCTTTGACTTGCACACAGCAACTAATGCTACTTCCTCGCCCAGTCAACTAGTGAGCCGACGGGCACACGCACCTGCCAAAAGCACAAAGCAAACTGTACGGTTGTAGTACGCGAAGCGAGTCCTTGCAGCTCCGCCATGCCGTACAATGTTTACTTTTGCGGGGCTAAATCAGGTATATCTCCAAAAATCGACGTTAGAGCTGCTATGCGTGCATTATATTTTTGCCTGCATGCAAACGCTTCTTTGCGGGTGGTGTGCGTGCGAATGCACAGGGTGCTTCGCCACAGTTGTGCGTGCTAAACCAAAACGGGGTTTTGACAAGCTCATTCTTGCGGCAAGCACCTAAATCCTAAGCTGGTCCGATGGTCTCTGGTGGGAGGTTGCGATGTTTATCAGCCCCGCAAATCAATATCACCTGGCACCCCAATAATAAGTACATGGTGGGTTCGATGGGGAGACCACAAGAACCCAAATACATTCACACACAGGGCTCCAATTACTCCGAAAGTGTAGGATGTCTGGCTGGTTTTGGCGTGATGTTCCGAGGGAGGGTTGGGTTTGGGGCCAATGCTTGGTTCACGGTTCCCAAGCACAATCGTTGCCGGGAAGTCTCACCTTTCTGACCCAAGCCGCTCAATGAAAGCATCCATTTTAGACTGAGGCCGTAGCTGCGCTCGGAACACTGAAACAAAGCAGTTGCCGCCAACTGTGAGCCGGAATCAGATGGAGCAAACTAGGCAAGGCAGGCCGCAATACAGAATCGGTGCAATGATTCCAGACAGCAGCTCCCCAAAAGGCTTCTCATCGCATGGTTTGCCATAGTGCTTGCCATACTTTGTTTCCTGAAACAAATTCTGTTCCGCAAATTTCAGGAAGAGAGGAGCTACCTCCGCCAAAGCCACCCCCCCAAATGAATAAGCACCAACCCTGCCCAGCCAATCAGCGTGAGCCTTATTCAGCCTTGTTAAGCCTTACTAAGCCTTGTTAAGCCTTAATAAGCCTTATTTACTGGTTATCGAATGTGGCTTAATAAGGCTTAATAAAGCCCAAACAAGCCCTGCCATTTCGGCAGCCTAAAGGCCATGGTCACACCGCAACTGCTCTGCATGTGTAGCGCCATTTAGGGGCCCCCTCTGTTCAAAAGGGGTGAGAGCAGGTGCGGTCCCAAAAAACGCCCCCGGGATGCGTGGTTAAGCCTTATATATATATATATATATTTTTTGGGGGGGGAGATTCAAAATTGCGCTATTTGCACAATTCTGGAGCTTCCACCCCCAAAAAAATAGCACGATTTACAGGAGCCCCAAAAAAGTGCTGAAACAGGGCCCGAAAAGAAGCCCTGAAGCCTGTGCGGCGCGTGCCCGGAACACGTGTCATCTCACTCTCTCATGCTTCCTGAAACCTCAGTCAGTTGAGAAGGAGCGTCTAGCCCTTATTCTTTTGGGGGGGGGTAGCTTTGGGGGGGTAGCTTTGGGGGGGTAGCTCATCACTACCTGAAAATTTCGGCAAGCCCTCATAGACTAGCGGGGTCACCTCTCCAAATTCCTGCCACTTCAGCCTGCGCCTTTTAGCCCGCGCCACGGCGGCTCCGCAGCGTGGGCGTCGGCCGCGCCGGCGGTCGCCCCAGGCGCGGCCCGAAGCGCTGGACCTGGGGCCTAGACAAAGAGGCGCCAACGGCAAGCTGACGCCGAAATGGGTGTGGGTCAAAAATAGGATAACCCCAAAATGGAACCCTGCCAAATGGAAACAAGGACTAACACCTGCGGTTTTTGTGGTGGCTTAATTTTGACCCATACCCAAATAACAAACCACCTAAATACAGGCAGCCATGCTCAAAGACTGTGCGTTTGTTCGAGAGAAGGCCACTGTCTGAGGCGGAACTGGTTGTGCAATCCTAGCCCCAGAATTGAAACAGAGCAAAACAGTTCCGGGCCGCCTTTAGCAGTTGCAGGGGAGCGCAATTGAACCGGCAACATAACTTCGGACAAATGTCCATCCACCGTGGCAAAAAGGACAAAGAAGGACTCCATTCCGCGGAGATCAAAGGGCAGAAGCTGATCGACTAGCGCGTCCGTCTTCCACAGCTCCCAGCAAAATCTGCACACACACCCACACACACACACACACCCGAAGATGAGGCCTGGCGAAAAAAAAAAGACCTTGCTCAAAGAGCCAACCAGAAATTCACCGCCTGTTTGCCATGAGCTAGAGGTGGGGAGGGCCTATGCCAAAGACATGAAGCCAGCGAGCGCTTTGCCTCTGCAGCAAGGGCTCGGTGTGGCTGTCGCTGGAGGCACTGCCAGTGGGCAACCTCAATGACTCAATGACAAACTGGCCGGAGTAAACGCTCCTGTTCCAAGAGCTTTGCATGTGGACCAACTGCCACCGGGTCAGTGATATCAAGGTCACAGGTCTCTTGCTTCAATCCCGGCTCAGTGAGGCAGTCGCGCTGGCATGTCAAGCCCTTCTCTTCGAAGAAGACGTGCAAGCGAGCCCTGCTCTCCCCAAGTGCCATGTTCAGGATCTGCCGAGGACACCTAAGCATAGACACCAATCATTTTTGACCCAATCACTTCAGCACCCACTTCCAGTTGCCAGGTGACACAAGCAGCGGGTGTTTCCTCCACTTCTCCAAGCTTGAAGAAGAGCTCCTAAGCGGAACTCACGCTTCGCTCGGTTCCCATGTCGGCGCAGCTTTCTGTCTGATTTCCATTGCTTGAATGTGCACAGTCTGAATTTGGTTGAATTGCCGGGCGTGCTCTGGCGTCTTGCACCTGGTGATACGCGCACTCCTCTCCAAATAGTTGAAGAGCAGCAGAGTTTCTTGCGAGTCCCCCTTTTCTGCGCTTTGCCCTGTTGCTTTCCAGCTAATCCCGCCAAGACATAAGGAAAACAGGTCAAATTCGTGGTTGCAAAGGTGGGTGGGGGGCTAAGATCGGTTGACTGACATTTCCTGGCAAACTTCATCAGCGCTGCGCAAGTCTGCAAGGCTCGCTATAGTACAGCATCCCAAAGGAACAAGTGGCCAAGACTTTTGGGCCACTGTTGCCAAAGAGGAGAATCTACCACAAAGGCTCTTTTTTCACTTCGGCATGTCACCGACAAGCTCAAGCAAACATCATGAAATGCCTTAGAGTTAGAGTTGGCGGCTGGGGTCAGAAAACGCAGTCGAAGCAAAACTGCACAAAGCCGTAGCTCCCTCAGTGCTTTGCGATGCCGGCGGAGAGCACTGCCCCATGTTCCAGCAGAACCCTCAGCGTTTGGGCAGCGGCCTCCTGCATCTCCAGCAAATGTCGGGTCGCTTCTGCCGGCGACTCCTTGCTTTGCACCGCCTGCAACCGACGCAGGCTGATTAATGGCATGTGACATGTCACACAATGTACACAAATAAATAGTTAGATTTCACCAAGGCTTTGGACTCCTTTCAATCTCGAGGGACTAGCGCGAGTGCACGCCAAACAAGTCAAAGCAAGGCAGCCGTGTTGGCTTTTCTGCGGGATCCTCTTTGTAGCCCCTTTCATTCCGGAGAAAGATAAGTCTTCCATATCTTCACGCTTTGCATCTCAAATGATACTGACTGAATGCGAGCCACACGCGCATATTCATAAACACATCTTCCATGTTGAATGCCCCTTCGGGTTTGCCCACCCCTGATTCCCACCACTTGCCTTTTGGGCACAGGGTTACATGATGCCAACCCTGCAAGCTTGGCTCATACACATTCCGTCAACAATGCGAATACCGGATCTCACCATTCCTTGATACCCCTCTTGTTGCAAAGATGAGCTTCCCATCACGCACCGTGCCAAAAGTCCAACACGATCGGTGTCATAAGTTAGCCAACTTAGATGTTCTCGATCACCAACCCTGCCTCCCGCAACATCGCAGCATGCTCTACTGCGAACTTGTCTAAGATTGTGTGGCCTCTCCTGAGCTGCAGCTTCATGTCCTACGCCCGGATGCAAGGAAGTGCTTGAAATTGCTACTGCCAACTCCCGCCCAGAAAGTCGAGACTGGTCTCTCCCTCCCTCTCCTTGCCTCCCTGCCTGCCCTTCCACACACTCACACACGCGCAAACACGCACACACACACTCACACAGCACCTGTTCAAACGCAAATCAGGGTGCTCATCGATGGACTTGTTCGCATTCACGCCGCCTTCCAAGCATCGCTCCACCTCGTCAACGTCCATGTGTTCCACGGCCTCTACCAATTTCTCCTGCGAGGCACGGCCTGCATGGCAAACATGTACTTGCACTATAACTGTTCGCCTTCAAAAGCCAGCCGCCAGCCAGCCACCAGCCAGCCACCACCACCACCACCACCACCGCCGCCGCCGCCGCCTCCACCACCACCACCACCGGGTTCTAGCATATCCAAACACAAACAAAACCAGGTCACAAACACACACGCACAAACACGGCCCGTAACCACAAACTCAACCACACACACACACAAAATGTACAACCACATAACAAACGTGCACACCAAACACACACACACAAACACAAGCACAAACTCAGACAAACACATACTCACACAAACACAAACAGAACCAGAGAGAGACGGAGAGAGGGGCACACAAACACGAGCACACACACAAATGTACAAACACGTACACACACACACACATGCCCAGGACAACAAACACATTGCCCGTGTCCTGGGTGAGCTCTCCAGCATCATCCCCAAAAGCCAGGCCGCAGTTGCCCATCACGCACGATCCAGGGATTCAAAATCTACTCTTTGGGCTGATAGCCAGTTGCCGGCAGTGCTGGCAGTGGATAGTTGTTTCTCAGCTCACACCCCAACTACCAACGAGCAGACCCTTGGAACAGTAAGTAGCCATGAATGCCACCACTACAATCACACTCAGCAGGGAGGCAGTGGCTGCACACGTGACACTACAGCCAGCACTTCAACCATATTGCTTCTACCTAGGTGTGGGATATACAGTCACAATGCACGAGTCCAGAAGAGCTCATGATGCCAATGCAGCCAATTCAAGCAGAATTCCACGATTTGCCGGTTCACCTTGCCAAAATGTTTGGTGATTTCTGCATGTCCCAGCATTGGACGGAATAAGGCAAGCAAAGCGGATCACATCTGCCAGCGCTATGGTTCTACATCCAGATGCGGCCACGGGTCCCGCCACGCCGCAATCTCATTGGGGTCCACTTCACACATGATCCGGGTCTCCTCCACCTGAATGAACCAGCGCGATCAAATCAATTCCAAGAAATCGACTAGTGTGGTTTATTCAGGCCTGGGAATCAAGCATCTTCTTTTCACATGTCCGATTCCGGCCTTTGGGGTTTCCAGAGGCTCCTCTTCAGTCTCCACCAACTTCGGCCGAAGTTCTGGCTGTTGAGCGGGCGGAGTAGCCTCACCTGTCGCACAAGTCGCAGCGTTGCAAGAATTCGTGCGCGCAAATCGAATCAAATTGACGAGTTTGATGGCCATCAACCACTCACCATCAACTGGTCATCCACATGGCCTGCTTCACTCTCTGGTCTTGCATTGTCGCCTGGCGCAAGTCAGCGTCCCAGGCAAACTCGCATTGGGTTGAGTGAGCGTAGTAAACCAAGCAACATGAAACACTGCAACATACTGCAATCCTAGCTGCCCAAGGTTTTCAAAGGCACCTGCAACCTTTGCTTTACAAACACTTGAAGCATCTTGGGTGTTCAAAAGCACTACGGCCTTAAACAAAAAAAACACACAGAAGAACATATAGTGCATGCTATCCGGGTGCCGTGCCCTCACACAACCAATTAAAAGTGACATCATTCATTGAGACACAGCATGACAGGACGCAAGCTTCGAATAGCCGATCCATGTCCATGACATCCCACGGCACCGAGTCTTGGGACCTGCACTCACCACGGTGCTTGCACGCAAGCTTGCAGGGATCGTTCAAGCGCGTCCCAGCATAAGAAAGAGACATGGCCATGGGTCAAAATCCCGTACCCCCAGTGAACATCCCAATCCCCACTAAACTAAACTAAAATGGGTGGTGCACCTACCCCAAAATGGTACCATTGGTTTGGACCCACAGCCACATGGCTAGTGAGTGGTGCGAAAGCACGTGCCCATGCAACCGCATGTCCACAAATGAAGCCAGCTGCCAACCTCCAGTGCAATGCCGACCTCGTTGGGCTCCTTCCTCAGCAGTGCCTCGTTGATGTGAGTTACTGCAGTGGCTGTCTTCATGCAAAAGAACCCTTGATACCGGGGATGCAAGCATTACCGCCCTTCTTGACTGGAACTTCATGGTGCAAGCCCTTTCGCCTTTCATCGCCAGGCCATGCTCAGGTGCGAAATATCTTTCGGTCGACATGTTCGATGGCATCTCAAGCGACATGCTTGGCACACGTTTTGGATCTCGACTTGCGGAAGAGGCTGGCATGGTGGGGGGCTTTCCCATGGCCACCCTCTGCCTCCAGGCACTGGGTCAGGAACCAGGCCTAGAAGCCAGGCACCACGTCCTGGCCGAGAAAATGGCAGCGTCTCTCATGCTTTCAAATTCGACCAGTTCTAACTGGATTAGCAAACTGGAGGAATGAATGCTGTGCTTTGTGAATGCTGGAGTTCTCGCCATGATGCTTCCAAATTGCCTCAATCGCCCTTTCACGTTTCTGTCTTCCACGTGGTTTTCTCTTCCTTGTCCCTTGATTTCGTTCAGGAAATTGGCCCGTTTGCCGGGAAGGCCAAGCAAGTAAGCAAGAGGGCCTGGTAGTCACTGCATCCCACTGGTGGATTGGTGCATCAGAAAATCTACGCCTTGCTTTGGCTGCCTGCAGCTTCTGCAGGGTCATTGCATTTGTTGCATTCTCCGATATTCTCCGCTGGCTCACAACAAGGTAGCTGGAAGAAGCTAAGAGACACTGCTGGCACAACCCCAGTCATCACACATGCAGTGGAAGTACCCGGTCCTGTGCCCTTGCCTGAAGGCAGCACACACTCACATGTCTTATCGCGATGGCTCAGCATGTGGATGCTCTTGCGGGATACCAGGAAGGACAAAAGGTTTTTTGAGCAAAGTTTGACCATCAAAGTTTGATGTGTGACATAACTTTGACGACGTCTGCAAAAGGCAAGTTTCTGACCTCGCAAACTTCAGCCATGGAGCCGCAAATCCCGCCTTTGCCAAAGCCCTTGCGCCCAAATGGAGTTCTGCGCCTGACGCTGCGATGAATGCGCAAATATGCAACACCTCAACACCCCTGAGCACCTGAGATCCCAACGGCAACGAGGCCTGCACATTTCCTTCCATGCGCACAGCTCGGACTTGAAGCGCTTTGCTTGATAGCCCGTCCTTGCTCATCGGCGGCGTCGGCTCCAGCCACCTGACCTCACAGTTCAGCTGCCAAGTGCGTCTTGACTCTTCGCACTGAGCTGCCAGCTGTCCGGAGCTTGGTCCGGCGGGCGCCTGGGCAACCCTCCATGCTTCATGCATGGCTTCCTGGCTTTCTCCTCCTTTTTGTACCCATAGGGCTCCTGGTAGCCCAGTGGCCAGCAGAATCAACTTGCTGGAAGCCACCAAATGGACACCTCCAGGCTTTTGAAGTGCTGAGCCCTGCGCTCTGTGCATTCTTCCGTGCCCTTTTCTGCACCTGGCACGTGGCGCCCACTGACACAAGCTTCAAATGCACGTATGTAGATTTGCCAACAGCGTCCACATGCTTCAAGAACCTGAAGTGCCATCTGGCCCGGGCTCTGCCACAGATTCGACTTGGGCGTCTTCAGCTGCCTGCTCTCCTGCACTGTTTGCCCCGTGCCCATACCCAGGCCTACACCCTGCACAAATGCGCAGCAGGTGTCCCAGCCTAAAGCAAGGCCAACCCGCGTACACCACCTGAGCGACAAAAGCGGAACGCTAGTCAATCAGGCTAAACTGGGGTCTGGACTCTTGCAGCGTCAAGATCGCATCATCTTCCCCCTTTCGCATTTTGCAATCCACCGATGCATGCCATCTGAACACGTTCCCACGACATGCAAGAATCCTCAATGACTGCAAGCACGACTGGGCAAGCCAGCGCTCACACTAATGCTCAGCCTTGGCCTTCAAAGGTTCTGCATCATTGGCTTCCCACCTCATGGGGCACACCCACCATATTCGGAACAACCCCTCCTTGATATCCAACTGATATGGCAGTCAAGCTGAGGGTCTCTGCCTGTCGATGGTCAACCCCTGCGAAGCCTGGCAGTGAGAGAAGCCAAGCGGTCAAACTCCAACACGTCTCGCTGTTGCTTCGCAGGCCCTGCCTCTGCCTCTCCAGTGTCAGCTGGGTCGGCAAAAGGATCCCAATCCTGCCAAAAGCATTGCACAGGGCAGTGGCTTCCCCGGCATTCAGCACGAAACGCAGGCTAAAGTGTTTCAAGCTTGCCAGGCTGTCAGCCACCGTGAGCATTGATCTGGTTTAAACACTGTTTTTTCCATGGAGGGCAAAGGCCAATAGCCATCACGAGATTCAACCATGTTTCCATTTTTGGGGGACCACACCTCTGTTGGTTCCATGATCTGCGTGCAGAAGACTTGAAGGATGCTTGTAGCGCATCAAGGCGTGCCTCCATGAAGTCGAACCTCTCACGCCCTGCCAGGTGCAAACCACCTCCATCAGCACGACTCGTTGTTTTTGCTCGGAAACATACGTACCTTTACCCAAAAAAATGGCAGGGGCTTTCCCCCAAAGGAAGGCAACGGCACTCAGTTCTGAACTGCAGGTGATATCACCAATTCAATGTAAGGCTGAAATGTACAAAGCGCGCCTGTCTAATGAAGAATCCTGACGTGTTTCTGTTCCAGTACTACCTAGCGAGCTGTGGAGTACCCAGAGACACGGCAGGAGTCCTTTGATGAACCATGATATCTTCAAGATCTTCAAGCCAATAAACCAAGTCTAGGTGCCTCACCAGGTGAATCGGACAACCCTCGCACATGCTTCCCGCATTTCCCTGCTGAGTTTCTCCGAGCAACCCATCCCACCGCGTGCATCCCCAGTCACGGCTAAGCCACGGAGTGGTTGCATCGACCTTTTTTGAGCGACCGCGAAACTTCCAAGGCGCGGAGCAGTCGCCTGGAACTAAAGGGCCAGCGGCATTGGCCGGCGTGGTTCATTTGTACAAAGATTGCTCGGTATCCCAAAGCCAACCGCGGAATGTCGTCGCTGCACCTGAGAGTGCAAATACGCTTGCCAACGCAATCCACTGCTTGAAGTGGGAACTGGGCCAATGTGTCCAACATGTGTGACCGCACGCTGGGTCTCACTCTTAGCTCCATGTTCTCTGCTCATGAGTCCAAGGCACTCATATACCACATTTGCAGCATTTCCCGAAAGCGCGCGTTGCCCTGATATCGTTCTCGTGCCAAATCAAAGTGCATCACAGCCTGCGATTTCAAACGCAGCTCTGCAAGAAAGTTCTCCCACGGGACCTTTTTGGACGGCTTCTCCTTCGGGCTGGACAGTCTCCACTTCCCACTGCGTAGGGATACTACACAAACGTTGCATGCCCGAGGCTTGTATTGTTGCCAGAGTTGCGTTGTGTTTACCTTTAAGGGCTGGCACCAACTGGTTTCAACGCAGCATGCATGTCCTTGCCTGCTGCATTTGTTCAAATGTATGAGGAAGCGTCCCTTTGAATGGAAACATTCTCTTCCTGCCTGTGAGTAGAGAGCCAGCTGATAGTGCAGCGACCCCATCTGATGAAGAAGAATAGCTGCCTCTAGTGTGTCGCTGTCACCCGCCCGCAGCAACGCCTCAGCTGACGGACTTGCATTGAGCATGCAGCAAAGCAAATGCCATTCAGACCTTCAAGAGAACTTCTGTATAAATGGTCGTCGGCATGTATGAAGGGTCAGGGCACATGTAGATACATGTAGAAAGTCACTCAGCAAAACACCGCGCAAATATATCCTGCCTTCCATGCCTGCTTCATGTGGGAGAGGCCCTCCTCAATGCAACCTCAGGCCAAGTCATAAGTGCGACTTCGTCTCAGTCAGTGGGGTCACGCTTTTGATACACCAGTTTCTTTTGGCCTGAATGGGGATGTCAACACAGGCCCCAACACGTGCAACTTGCAACACGGCTAATCCGTGTAACATGAGTGGGCATCGCTAGCCTTTCGAATCCGGGCATGGCGCCGGAGCCAGCACTGGCCGCGCCCATGCCAGTGAGGATCTGTGCCTTGACACGGTCACCATCTCCCATAGCCTCTAGGCCTTCGCAGGCCTGGCGATGCGGAAAAACTCGCGAAGCCCGGCTGAGATGTGTTTGGGCCAGCAAACAAAGATCTTTTCGCCGTGTTCTTCGATTCTTGTAGGCAGGCAACACTGGCTTGGCTTCTCCAGTCATTGTAGGGCTCTCTGTGTATGTGTGCACGCCTCACCACTACTAACTGCACCGCACCTCATGGAAGTACACCATGGCATCCCTGGATCTTTGCAGGGCAGAAGCTGCGATGGCCATGTTCGCCGACACTGTCGTCGCATCAGCGCATCGCAAGTCATCGTGCTTCCTTAGAGGCTTCGGCAAGCTGCGCCAAGACCTAGACATGTCAAGCAAGTTGCGAGCGCCTCTGCTGGATCACATTCAGCCATGCGACTTGAAGATGGCGCGTGCCTTGCCATATTCCTGCAAGGCTTCTCCGAAGCGCTGCAGGCTGGCCTTGTTCAGTGCTGCTTGGGTAGCCAGCCATTGGGTTGCCACAAGGCTGGGCTGATGCCGGCCAACGTAAATTCGCCACTATCTGCTAAACGAGGTGCATACGCAGCCCCATGCTGGATGAAGTAGCCAGCAGCCAGATCGTCAGGGCAACCCGCAGCATCCAGCAAGGTGCGCGCCGGAGCAAGAGCGCCCAAGGCCTTCAAGCAAGCATGGCAGAGGAACGAATCGGAGTCCAGCCCTCGCAGCCAAACAGTTGTTGTTGCCATCAAATCCGATGGTCAAAAACCCAAGGACAGCTCTTGGACGACCTTGATGCTCAAGCCTTTGGAACTACAATTGCGGGCGTTCCCTGTGCGCCCTGAGGTTTGTTCTTGTTGAACAAAAACATGTTCGGTCATCTGTAGCTCTCGCCTTTTCGTGGAGGCCGCGGCTGCTCAAGTTGGCAGCTGATTCCATGAGCATTTCGACGCCAATCGCAAACCTTCTCTGCACCTGGCGCCGAGCCGAAGCTGAGCTCATAGGGTTCGTATCAGCTCACCGCAAACACCACCCAGCAGCCATTATCAAGCAGCTGCTATCACTGTTGAAATATGAAACATTCTAGATGATGGGACATTTCAATAGCAACTTATGCTTTGGTTGCTGCACATGTCCAGCGTGCCTCCTGATTGCTGTCTGAGATGGAACTCTGGTCTGTCGCAGCAGCCGCTGCAGTGAGTCGGGTGCCTCTCAACCGCCAAATGCTGACCGGCAATGCCCTGCGACAAGCACACTCAGAAATGATATGGCGGCTCATCTGGCTTGCGAGTTGTCCCAAGCGCCTGCCTTTGCGATGGCAAGGGACCCAGGTCCTGCGAAGCGAGCGGTTGCTACTTGCTCACCCCCATCCACTAGATGTTTGCCAATACAAGTGAGGCTTCACATTCAAGACGCACGGATCCCGAGCCTTGGCAACGCGAGAACAAGGCAAACCGCAACCCATCCTTGGACATGCGACTCACAGGTGCTTGCTGGTCTTGAAAGCCAACCGCCACTTGGCAACATTCTCGAGTCACACGCCCCACCACCCGAGAAATGTCTCTTCTTTTTCCTGCTCTGGTCCCTTTGGCACATGCTGGCACCAGGCTGAATGCGCGTTTCAGCCTTGAGATCCTGTGGGCTCTCGCAAAAAACAAAAAACAAAAAAATAAATCCTATGTTTGTTGAGCCCAGCCAGGATGCCAAAGCCTGGCCGTGCACCAGCTCTGCCCTTCATGGCCCTGGGTGCAACATGCCAACCAGAATGACGACACCCACAGGACTACAAACCCACAGTTGGGTCAGAAGCAACCGGCAATCATATGCAATCATCATCTCTCCCCTCCCTTCCTTCCTTCCTTCCCAGCAAGCCCAGCCCGCAGCCAAGAGAAGAGAGGATGCAAGGACAGTGGAGGAAATAAATGAAACATACGAAGCTTGGCAAAACTAAGCTAGGAGAACTTTATTCTGGGACCCTGCTTTTCTGGGGAGGCAATTAATCTATCGCTTCCCCCTAAAAGGGGGGGTACCCCTAGTGCGTTGCAATTTCGCGTTGCAATTTCCAGCTCCCCGAAATACCCGTTCCCCCCCTGACCTCAAACTTGCCGAACCCACTCTGCCTCCCTCCGTTCCCTGATCTGCATTGGCTTTCCTTCCGCCATTCCACAGCCCTTGCTTGGCCATATTTTGCCATGCGTCTCTGGTTTTCTGATTGTTGCTCTCGCGTCCTTTATCTTGTCTTTCTGGTTATGTGTTCTATCTCGTTTCTTTCCTTTTTCTTTGTTTCCGGAATTACAACAGGACTAACAATTGCAACACGGGGGGTGGGTACTCCTATCCTAGTAGGTTGTTGCAATTTCGCGCCGGCCCCCCTCCCCCCTTCCCCCCCAAAAACAAATGCAAAACGTAATTGCATTGCAAGTAGCCCACCCACCCTCCCAATTTCAATTAGTTAGGGGGGTGATATTAATCTAATTTCACCAATGTATAGTATAGAACTGCAACAAGTCTCAACATACAAGCGCGCCTCTGAGAATTTCACGAAATGCATGCAAAGCTTGCCATGGTGCTTTGGTTGTCTCTGCAGGCATCTTGTGGATTGTTTTTGAACCCAGATCTTTGGGCGGTTGGATGTTTTTGGAACAAACCCATTGCCAGGTTCCAAACTGCGCCTGAAGGCGTAATATCAGCAGCCCATGGCACCATCAGCGGAACTGAGACGAGTCACTGCCACAATGCTCTTGCACATGTGTCAGTGAGAAATTGCAAGCCACATGGTCACGCATTTACGTGCGACTTGGTCAAGTCGATGACAGCCCTGGATGCCTGGATGCCCCTGTGAAAGCCAAAGCTCGATGATCCGGCGTCGCGTCAAAATTCGCAAGCTGCGGCACAAAACTCCCTGCCGACCACAACACCCTCTGGCGCGAGCGAGCCGCAGCCCTGCCTGACAATGCGGCACAATGACCTGGGCGCAGTGTGACAGCCAATGCACCTCTTGTTCAGTTGGCTCCCAGCTGAGGCTGCAGCATCAGCGCCAAATGCGTGCAGGCGCCGCAACGAAGCAACAGGTGTCAAAGGTGTCAAATCTGATCTGATTCTGAGCTATTTTAGCAGTTCTGTGGAGTGACCTTGCTTTGGACAGTCGGTCCTTCTGAAGTGCCACGCCATGTTGTGCCATGTTGGAGCAGCATTTCACCAATGTGCGCATATTGTCGGCCTATTGAGCCCACTAGTCCCATGGCACCAAGTGTTGCAGACCATTTGAAACTCAAATTCACGCAACGCCTTCCAGATTGTTGAGCACGAGCTCTCGTGTTACCCCCAAGCCGTATACAGACAGCAGCGGTCACGCCCATGAGACTGGTGAGACTTGTATAGGACCATGTAGTTCCTCGCCGCACAGCCACAGTACCAGCCTTTAAGAACCCAAACAATGCTGTGTGTCCCCAACGCCGCTTACTAAGCAATGCAAAAACGCACTGCCTACGAAAGCATACCATTCAGCAGGGACGAATGGCAACGTAAGGCTTGGATGCTCCCAAAATGCAACGTGAGATGCTTACTCTCATCCAGAGTCAATCCCAGCGCCGCTGCCAGAATCCTTGTGCCAAACTGCCAAACTGGAGAAGCGTGTTTGGGTTCCCAGGCTGAGCTTAATTCATTGTTTGCCCTATTCCGCTCCCAATGATACTTATGCCTTATACGGACAATTTCAATTTAGCTCTTTTTAGCAATGCCTGTCCCACAAATTGGCAGCTGCCCGCATTTTCAGGCACTGCCGGACTATGTACAGCTCATTAGGAGCACACTGCGCCAAGTTGAACAGGGATCTTGATCAAATCTTCGTGTCGATTCGCCGCAAACTCGAATCGCAGAAGCATATAACATCAGGCCTATGTGGGATGGGCACGTGGCAAGCTTTAAGATCCCGGTTAAACACAATGAGCGAACAGGAACGCTACAGGACGCCTTTGCGTCCGCTGGGCAAGACGTTCAAGGTCGTTTGCGCGAGCCGCAGGAGCTCAAGCAGCCTAAGTCGCTCAGGTCTGAGACTCGGACCTCTTCACAAAAACTGCGGCTGCCTATGGGAAATAATAGAGTATACGTTGTAGGCCGTTTTGGGCCGCGGTCAAACTTGACCCTATTTTATGTATATATATATATATATTATTTAGTGAGCCCCCTATTGTATTTTCATGTTATGTGTTTTGCAGGGTATCAGACTGGGGTTCAAATTGTGTGAATCACCAATATGTGTCCATGTTTGAAGAATAATGTAAACCATGTTTACTGAAATCTCCTTGATGCTAATTCTGACCCTGTCACATCTGCACGTGGACTGTGAAATCTCAAAGGCCGCTACAGCATGACCGAGTATCCTTTAGCAGCAGCAGCAAAAGTGGCGGCAGCAGCAGCATCAGCAGCAATTCCGATGCTGCCATTGCGTATGTGCAGGCACTTTATAGGGCGAGACCAATGCCCACCCTTCAACCAAGGACATGATGGCCTCCATCATGCGCGCCTGCGAATTGTGTGTTGCAGCCGCCGCACCCTAGTCACCAAGTCGACGCTTAACTGGCCACAACCTGCAGCTCTCTGAAGCCAACTCCACGAGGTGCTTTGAGAATCGGCGCCTCTCCAACTCATCCCACCAAAGCCAGCTGCAAGTCCGTTGCCAGCTTCATTTGAGTCACAATCAAAACCCGGTATTGGAATGGCCCACCCAGAACCATGCAAAGAATTAAGAAGGCGGCCGCAACTATTTCTGGCTGGGACTGCCCCTTACTAAACCTTCATCTACATGGGTTTTGATTGTGGCTCATTTGTGCTAGCCCACACTGAGGTTGGCACACCTGCGAGCTTCTTGCCCTTCTTCTTCGCTGCCCGCTCGCGCGCCTCGTTCTACAAAGCGGCTGGAGTTGCACAGGAGGCTGTGCTTTCGAACCAAATCCCAGACGCAAATATGCTTAAACTCAAAACCACTACTGAAACAAATATCTTTGCTTTCTCCTTGCTGGCAGTTCAAACCCAACTTTCCCAAGCTATGGCCAAGCCCCACCCAGCTGAGTGTCTGAGACGCATGCCCCGCCGCCCGCCGCGCCAACTGCCACCACACCTGCGCAGTGCATGCGCCTTCCAGCCCTCCTGGGGCGCTTGCCCTCTGGGGCCGTGGCCCTGGCGCATTCTTCCCACGGCGCCTCCTGCCATGCGCTCTTTCCTGAAGCCGAAAACCAGGGAGGGTGCGAGTGGAGGCTGTGGAACACGACATCTTCAAGAGAAAAGGAAAAAATGCACTCCAGTATGCTCCAGTTTGCTAGAAGGCATCCACAAGGAAGGGTGCAACACTGACCATCTGCACCAGGAGATGTTGCATAGTGCGTGTCTGAAGCAACGAAACAACTTCTTGCATGGTGGCATTCCTGGGCTAATTCTCACCCAACAAGCCTATGACTTGAACCGTTGGATACCCGCCTATCAACGGAAAGGAAAAGCTCTGCGGGCTTTGCCCCTTGAACGCGGATTGCAGTACAAATGTTCAATACCCTACAGGGTATCACTCGCCCGTTTCACTGGCCTGCAATGGTTTCATCGATCAATCACGTATTGAGACTAGCTCATTCCGACTGCTTGCAAGAATCCCTGGCTTGGGCACACACGCACACACACGGCATTTGAGAACTTCAGATTGAGCATGTTGCCTGACGGACCTTTGCATGATTTTGCATGTTTATTTCAACATTATGAGCCCTACGTTTTTGGGGGGATGCTTCTTGGCGGAAGCACTTCACAAGTACTATAATTTGGAGCTTGCACATCTCGCCAAGCGCATGTCAAAATCCCGACTGTCTAAGTGTACACCTACGCAGCACTTCTGCGAACGACCTATGTTTTATGTGTGTGGCTTTGTCTTCGGTTGTCGTGTTTCATGCCTGAACTGCCGATAGCGGTCGAAAGTTCGCGGAGCGTGCACACGCGCATGCGCACTCGCACGCGCACGCGCACACGCACACGCACACGCGCACGCGCACGCGCACGCGCACGCGCACGCGCACGCGCGCGCGCGCGCGCGCGCGCGCGCGCACGCACACGCACACGCGCACGCGCACGCGCACGCGCACGCGCACGAGCGCGCGCGCACGCACGCACGCACCCACCCACACACACACACAGACACACAGACACACAGACACACAGACACACAGACACACAGACACACAGACACACAGACACACAGACACACAGACACACAGACACACAGACACACACACACACACACACACACACGGCTACTCATGTTGCAGTTGTTGGACCCTGACTGGGCTGTTCTCTTGTCTATGTCTTGGGCCCTGACTCCTTTTCCATGATCTCCTGCGCCTCTTCTGTGCGCTTGGCAAGCTGCTCCTCCTATGCTGCACAGAACAAAGAAAAATCTGCCTAGGCGTGTCTCAAAGTTGGAACCCCCAAATGGGCTTGGTGCGTGTCCCTTCAAATCAGCCCCAATCCCAAACAGGCACCTTGGTCTGCTCCAATAGCGCCTCTGGGAGTAGCAAATTACCAAAGAGCAAGGCCCGAATGCTTCATACCAGCTGCGAGCAGTAGCCGACCCAGCAGGACGTGTTGGCAAAGGTCAACATATTGTGAACATACTTGCCAATCTGCTGCCCCTCACGGACAGGCTATCCTATGCAAACAAGCCCTTCTTGGCAGCCGATGCCAGCAACAGATCTATGTTTATAGATGCACCAGCGGATGTTGTATGAGCGTGCAGCGAGTGTCTTCGTGGGCTGTCAAGTGTAAAGAGAGCCAACCTCTATTTCATTGGCTCAGCGATCTCGTGGATGCCACCCAACATCAGGCCCGCACTGAGTTGCTCTCGAAGATATTGTGCTCTTCACCTGGCTCCGCCCCAAAGAAAAGAAACGGCAGAACTGACATGGAATTCTACAAAGAACCGCTTACAACATGAGATTCCTTGTTACCCCGTTTTGATTTCAATGCCACTTGCTGGGCAAGGAATCGGCTTTGAAGCGCGCCCATAGCCCTGGTTGATGGCCTGATACCAAGCTTTGTCTCTCAAACAGTCTTAGGCCGCTTCTGCCATCAGCAAGGGTCAATTATTGAAGTAATCAGGCATCCTCTTGGATACTGTGCAGCTTTCTCCCCCCCTCTCCAGCCAGGGCTGCTAGCTGCATCGTCCTGCGAGGAAACGGCCCGTCCGAAGGTGCATCGAACCCTGCTCCTGGAAACCAAGGGTGTTCAATGCCACAATAGCTCCAAGCCCACTTTGTCCAGCTGAGATTTCCCCTACCCCTCTACAAGTTGCATGACTTGGGCAAGGCTCTGTCACTGCGACAGCTAGGTACTGCACTGACATTTTGGCTCGCGGGCGCCGCGAGTTGAATGCCGATCTTTGGCTGAACACATATGTTTTCGTTTCAGCTGCTTGTGCATCTGCGCATGTCTGCACAAAGGCTCTGTACACAGCAGCGCAGCTCAGCCTTCTAAATAATGCCATGGCATGTAGCAAAAGCTCTCTGCCGCCACAACTCTGCATGAGGCTTAGCCTTGCCTTTGTTGTGCTGGCAACTCATTTTGTCTTCCGGTTTCTGTTCCTGCGGGCAGGCAGGCAGTGGCACGAAAAGTTTTTGACCTACTGCCCAGGAGTTTGACCTTGTCTAACATGACACCCAAAATTCCCTTGAAGCTTCCACGGCTGATGGGCCACATGCTTAGCACCTCTCCTCAGCCCAGTTGGTGACCCGCTTTCCGGCGCAATGTTGGCAGGCGTAAACGTCGGCTCTTGGTAGCGGTGCGGGGAAGTGGGGCTGCTGCCTTCCCATTCCTCACTGCCAGAGGTTTGGCCCTCGGTCATGGTGTAGGACCTCTCGCGCTGCCAGAGGTTGAACAGCGTGGGCCGGGGCTTGGCATCCTCCGGCTGTGGAACCTCATCGCCCTCTTCTTCCTTCCACTGGTCGTTGAAGAGCTTGACGAGGTTGAAGCCTTGGCCGGCGAAGTGTGGTTTCGCGTTCAAAGTGCAAACCGAACACCTTGTTTGTATTGCTCACTTATTGAGTGGATGGCCCAAGAAAAGCCCCCACTTTAAATTTACCACTAAAATGGTCTTCACAAAAAGTTTAACGTTCATGAACTCAGGAAGTGAGATTGGCAGGGCACAAGAGCCTGCGACGAGCTCCAAGCCTGGCACTGCTGCCAGGGCTGCAAATGCAAAAAGAGTAGGCTACAAAACTACGCCCAATCTTTTCAATATGCAAGAATAACAGCGCGAAGCGTGAAGACCTCACTGGTGAGGTGTCACCGTAGCTCTGCCCCCCCCGTTATCAAATCGCCTCTCTGCATGTAGGCTTCCTGAAGAAAACTGGCTTATGCATAAGACCAAACCACGACAAGTATAAGTTGCAAATCGAGTTTCGCTTCCTTCTCGCACTACCCATGCCACAACAATGCTGGAAATACAAGGGACCCCCTGGTAAGGGACGGTGAAAGCTCGTTTACACCCTTGGCCAGGTCAGCCAATTCCGGTTTGTGCGTGAATGTAGTCGCAATAGCATCAGTGGCCCTCGGTGTTGGCAATTGATTGCGCGAATCCACCAATCAAAATGGGAAAAAGGGTGCCACTGAACACCCGGGGCATCAAAAATAGGGGGACCCCCAAACATGGCGGTCCTCTCTTTCGGCTTTCCAACTTGGAAGCCAACCAAAAGGGATCCCTTCACCTCCAAAACCACACACGCGACTCGCCCGCTCTTCTCGCCCTCACGGCATGCGCGGCATGCTCGCCTAAGCCGAGGCGCAAATCAGCGGCACCGTGGCCAGCAGCGGCCCCAGCACCACGCCCGCCAGGCCGAATTGGCCCACGCCCAGCACCACGCCCAGGCCGGTGAGCCAGGCATTGGACTCCGGGATCTCCGCGTAGATCACAGTGGGCACCTGGAGGGGACCCCTCGAAACGAGGTGAGGTCTTCCCACTTTCCCTCTTCAGGCCTACCTTCTTCTGGATAACACCGCACAAATACTATTTGCGCGGCTTTAAACAAGGTGAGTCATAATCAAAACCCGGTATTAAAATGGTCGTAATCCCAGAACCATGCTCGAGAATTAAGAAGGCGGATATCCGCAGCTATTTATGGCAAGGGGTTTATCCCTTACCTTCATCTACCAGGGTTTTGATTGTGGCTCAGGTGTTGAGGTCTTCCCAGTTTCCCCTTGCACTCTCCGCAGGCCTACATTCTCCTGGGATGCGGTGATTAAAAATCATGCCAAGCCACCGCCATCCCGGAATAGGGCAACTGATCATATCTGGACCATAGCATTGGAATGTTTTTCCCGAAAGCATGGCGAAGGGTTCTTCCGCTGGGTTCACTTGAGTTGTTCTCATGAGAGTCATTACAAGGTGTCATTGCAAGGAATCAGCATCATGAAAGTCATTGCAAGAAGTCATTGCAAGGAGTCATTGCAAGCAATCATCATCATGAAAGTCATTGCAAGGAGTCATTGCAAGGAGTCATTGCAAGGAGTCATTGCAAGGAGTCATTGCAAGGAGTCATGGCAAGGAGTCATTGCAAGGAGTCATGGCAAGGAGTCATGGCAAGGAGTCATTGCAAGGAGTCATTGCAAGGAGTCATTGCAAGGAGTCAAGTGCAAGGAGTCATGGCAAGGAGTCATTGCAAGGAGTCATTGCAAGGAGTCATTGCAAGGAGTCATTGCAAGGAGTCATTGCAAGGAGTCATGGCAAGGACTTGCAACTTGCACTTGACTCCTTGCAATTGCAACTTGCACTTGACTCCTTGCACTTGGACTCCTTGCACTTGGCTCCTTGCACTTGCAACTTGCACTTAACTCCGTGCACTTGCGACTTGCACTTGACTCCATGCACTTGGCTCCTTGCAACTTGCAATGGCTCTCATGACAATGACTCCTTGCAATGACTCCTTGCAATGACTCCTTGCAATGACTCCTTGCAATGACTCCTTGCAATGACTCCTTGCAATGACTCCTTGCAATGACTCCTTGCAATGACTCCTTGAAACAAGCAAGGAGTCAAGTGCAAGTTGCAAGTGCAAGGAGTCAAGTGCAATTGACTTGCGAGGAGTTAAAATCTCTTCTTAGGGCGGCGGGGTAGTGCCGACGACACTACACGAAAATCGACCCTCTGCGGGGATCGGCGTGGTCGAGGTGCAAAAACCCATGGTTTTTTGCGATTTCGAAAGTTCCCGCGCGACCCTCTGCGGGGATCGGCGTGGTCGAGGTGCAAAAACCCATGGTTTTTTCCGATTTCTAAAGTTCCCGCGCGACCCTCTGCGGGGATCGGCGTGGTCGAGGTGCAAAAACCCATGGCTTTTCCGATTTCCTGCATGCTCGCGCGACCCTCTGCGGGGATCGGCGTGGTCGAGGTGCAAAAACTCGAGGATTTTTGCAATGTCTGCGGTGCTCGCGCAACCCTCTGCGGGAATCGGCGTGGTCGAGGTGCAAAAACTCGAGGTTTTTTGCGTCTTTTGTGGTTCGAACTGGTCCTCGGGAGTTGTCTCGTGGTTCGAGCGCCTGCTCCCGGAACCGGCGGGTAGCGGGTTCGATTCCTCCCTGGTCCGCGGGCGGGCGTCGCAAGATGCAACTTGCATTTTAAAGCAACTTGCGCAGAGCAACTTGCGCAGAGCAAGTTGCACAAAGCAACTTGCGCAGACCAACTTGCACCGACCAGTTTGCGCAGAGCGCCTTGCCTAGAGCAACTTGCGCAGAGCAACTTGCGCAGAGCAACTTACGCAGAGCAACTTGCACAGAGCAACTTGCACAGAGCACCTTGCCTGGTGCTGTCTCGCGCTTGCTTCACGAATGCTTCGTGTGGGGAAAAAGAACGCATCCTGCAGCGTTGGGCCGACCTCGCTTGCGATGTTCTGCTTTCGGGCCAACCGTGGTCTAGCTTAATGTTGCAAGCTGTTCAGTGGCTCGACCTAGTCAAGTTTCACATGATACCTTCCGACAATTTCGGAGGAGCCACGGGCCCTCCATTTGTCTCCTTGCAAACAATTTGTTGGTTACATTCACCTATTTCAATCGGCTGGGGACCAGTGCACGTCCCAGGCCTGCCACCAAACAGCAATATCCAGGATCAAATACCTGGGCGAGATATGGCGAAGTAAGTGCGACTCATCCAGAATGCTCCCCACTGCACACAGCGGCTGACTTCTTCACATGGGATTTGTCCCTAAGTTCGCGCTCCGCTTGCCTGCGTGCCAAGGCACACCACCGCCCAGACCTTCTGGTGCACCATCCAGAGGTACACCGTGGCCCAGAAGGAGACGCTCCACACGGGGGAGACCTTGGGCACCAGCGCCAGCACGGCAGACAGCACGGTGGGCACCACCACGATGGGCAGCTGCCCGAAGGAGTACAGGAACCTAACTTCTTGGGTGCTGTAGATCCCCCAGAAAAAAAGTTTAACTCTTTGCTGGCTACAAGGAAATATGAGGAGAATCCAAAAAGTTAAAGTCTAAACATCCCAATAGCAGCACAGACTTCAAACGGGAAGTGGAATCCAAAAGTTACCCTCCCACCGATTAACATGGAAGGTCCTGGAAAAACCATGTTCCTTTTAAACGGACCCCCTGTCAGGTTCCTTGTTAGTTGGCGGGAGGGCAAATTGACAACTTAATTGGCCTTTCCGAATTGATGGGGAACAACATGTCAGCCGGATCGTGCATCGAAGACATGCTCATGGTTCCATTGATAGGGGCCCTCGCAATGATCGCAATGGTTGTGCAAACTTCCGTTTCAGGAGTCGTGGCCCTCCCAGACACCCCAAACAATCAAGTCTCTTGACTACAGCACAGTGGAAAGAAAGAATCAGGGACAAAAAGGTTCGGTCGAGGAGCCACGTGAACAAGGCGTGAAAGGTCGACATCTTCATGGCAGACACCAGCACGGCACGCATCACCTTCTCAGAGAGCCGGAAAATCACCTGGTTGTGGTCCACCACTTTCAAGAACTCACCCACCACTACCAGGCAGGGGTGCTGGGCCGAGAGGAGGTAGAACAGCGCTGTGACGAAGACCACTGTCTGGCCAAGCACGCACGAGGCCGAAGACACGGCATCCAGGAGTGCCCTTGGCACCGAGTAGGTAAACCAGGCCAGCAGGGACCCACCATAGGCAGCGCCACCTTTGAACGCATCCGCGGTGCTTTGTGAAGCCCCATCTCCCAGCAGTGAGGACACCGCCGCAATCTCCGCATAGGCTCCCATGAGCAGAGACGAGATTTCTGTGAGATTCCGATCTCTGCCCGTCAAGGCGTGTATGACTGCGGTGGTGTTTTTCAGGGCATGCTTCATGACAACTGCGTCTGGATCCTCGCGGCCGCAGGCTGCGCCACCTGCACACTGCTGTGCCTCCGAGTGAGAGCCGTGATCCTGGTTCCAGATGTCATATGCCACGTACTTGAGGATGTAGAAGTCCGGGATGTAACGCGCCAGCACTTTTTCATAGTCGTCTGGCAATGCGTTCTCCAGCTGTGCCCTCAAATGACCCAAGAGGCCGCCATTCTGCTCCTTTTGCAGCTGTTCTAAGTGTTCCATGGCCATGTGGTAGGCCTCGTGGCTTTGCATCAGCTTGTGACACGCACTGCCTATCAAGATAGCCTCCCGCCGCAAAGCTACCATGAGAAAGCTGATGAAGTACCCCAAGGACGCCAGGGTAGCCACCACAATCAGCAGGGACAGGAGAACATGGCAGTTCTCCTGGCAGTTTTCGCAAGCATTTTTATACTGGTTTGGACCCTGACGGGTAGTCGTTTCAGTTAGGACCCAACTGTCTCAACATGAGGATCATGACTGTCCACAATTCTTGGTTCAAGTTGGCAATGACGTTTGGCCTTAGCTGCCTGATTCTGAGCATGCGAAAACGCACATCCGCCCAAAAGCGCGAACCCCTCTTTGCATCCTTGAAGGCGGCCACTAATGCATCCCAGGGTTTGTTCAGCCACTGGGAGGTGTCATGCTGGAATCTGAGCAGCCACGACGCAATGCCTCCCCAGCAGCGCCGAAGCTTGTCCATCTGCCCCGGCCCCAGTTTCACCGCGAGAAAGGGTGCCACCAGCTGGCCTGAGACGAGCCTTGACACTGGCCCCCTTCTGGGGCCCAACGCGCCCACAAAACGGGGCTGCCGATTTTGAGGATCGTGTTGGACTTGGGGTTGAATTGTTGAAACGGAACGCAACGCCGAGGACAGGAAAGAGAGAGCTGAAGAGGATAGTTTGCGAAACAGCCTTCGTTGAGAGCCAACGAACTCATTGAGACGGTGAAGAAGACTTGGGAAGTTAACCAAAGCTCAATGCGCAAGGAGAGATAGATGGTTGGCACAAGTAAACCGCGAAAGCAAAATATTCAAATGTATCCTATGTTCAACGCACAGTAGATTGGCAGGTCTCAACTAGGCACATCGGCGCCAATGGCATGAAAAAGCCGCCCCGGCAGCGTATGAACCGCCCCTTGAAACCAAGGGATCAGCTTCCCATCGTAAAGCGAGTGGCTGAGAATGGTGGCCACGAAGCGCACGCAGACCAAAAAGATATATGCATAGAACGAATACCTCGCAGAGTCATGGCCAGAGCTACAAACATGCTTGCTTGACAGCTTGGTCCCAAGTACCCAAAAAAACACTGCACCACGTGAGAGCTACCATGACTTTGAATGGCTCAATTGATCCGAGTGATTCCTCACTCCCCGCCTGAGCAGCAGCATGCAAATCTCTTTGCCAAGGTCTGTCGAGCAAAGCTGCAGGAAGCAAAGTCTCAGTAGCAAGCCAAAGTAGGGCGTGGAGTCTGTGGCTGTGGAGAACTGATTGATAGGCTTCACCAGGAAGTGCCAGGAGGCCTTGAAAGCGCCTTTCAGGTTCAGCCGGAAGAGGTCTCCTGTGCTATTGCAGGGCCGGAAGGTTCCAAGCCAATGCCGGCGCTCCCAAATCTGCTGAACCTGTCTCCCCCGTTTGGATCGGTGAATCGTCACGTGATACTCCTTGCCAGCTGCCATCTCCGACATCCGCTCTTTGGAGAGAAAGGCCGTCTCGACCTCGTTTCCCACGTGCAGCCAAAAGAACCTGCTCAGCTTCCGTACCTTCACCCTCCGTTCACCTTCCAACGCAACTACCTCATAACTCTCCCGCAGAAGCTGCGAGAAGATCAGCTCAATAATGCTGATCTTCACCTGGTACAAGGGGATGGATACAATCATGGCCCAGAAGAGTGCCAAAATATACACCTCGAAGGCTGCCAAGTTGTAGTAGAAGGCAATCAAAACCAGGCCGCCAGCCACCTGCACCACCAGGAAAATGAAGGCCAGGCGCGCAAATGCCTGCCACACCCGTACTTGCCCTTGGAACAAAGCACGCAAAACTTGAAATCCTTCAAATCATAGTCTCTATGTCCAGCTCTTGGCCATCCTAAGCATCCTGGCCTGGTCCTTTGAATCCCAGCAAGTCTGCCAGGTCTCTGCCAACTTTCCCACTGTCAGGGAACCCTGCAGCTGCGATTGCTGCGCCCTGTCCTGAGAAGCATACGAAGGGACTCAGCAAGCAGTTGCCCTGTGTTGAGGTGTGAAGGCGTTTTCAGAGTTCACAGCTTGAGTGTTCGATGCGTGTGGCGGGAAGAGATTGTGCGATGCACACGCACGCTTTTGCAATGAAGGCGCGATGGCCTCTCCCATGCGCTTCTGCTGCTCCGACAGCTCTGCCAAGCCTCAGGCCGACTCAACTCATTGCTTGCTTCATGGTCGTGGGCTATTACTAGTTGGCCCAGGGTGGCAGTTCGACAGCCCCTTACAAATGGAGTGTCGTGAACCCCGGGGGGGGAGGCGGCAACACTGCTTAGTCTCTCCCCCAATGCGGCTTGAGGATGTCAAAGGCGCAAACAAAACAACAAACAGCGCGGGCATCAAGCGGAACATATGGGATCTAGGTGCTGTTGAGCTGCGCTTTTCAAGCGGTGCCAGCTCATCAGGCAGAGTGCTCATGGCTGGCCCAGGAGCGACCGGCCGGAGGTCTGACTTCCTCTGGGGTATTCATCCTGGCTTCGATGTGCCCCAGTAATGCATGGCAAGACTTCGTGAGCGGCTGTGTCTGTCGTTGACCCTTTGTTTTCCCCCTCAAATCTACCGGCTTGCAAAGTTGAAAGCAGCTGCCTTCTGCACAATGTGCGTGGCACTCTGTGGCGCAATGGTCAGCGCTGCCAAACAAGTCAAACGGCTTCAAGCCAGAGGGCGGTCGACCACTTTCTCGCAATACGCCTTTCAACCATCATGCTTTCAAAGAGTTATATGTGAGCCCTCCTCCAACTCCTTGAGCAATTCTAAACAGCATCTGTTCCCAACTCAAGTGGGCGTGCATTGGGCGTGCATCTGGGCAGGCCAACGCATGCCAAAAATGACACTTTTAGCGGGGGATCTGAGGGCAGCCCAGTTATGTCGCGGGGCAAAACGGCCAAGAGCCAAAGTGATGTTGGAAGATTTTACGGTGATTCGACTGGCCCTTCTCAGGCGTCAGGCGTCAGGGTGGCTCAAATGGAAATTACCACTAAACACCAAAAAGCTACAAGGCTAAGGGGATGGCTGGGAGCCACCAAGATAAGTAAAATGCTGAAACGGCTTTAGCATCCAGCAAGCTTGGCCATGGCTGCCATCGTATATAAGCAAAACCGCCGCTGCGTCATGTACCCTTTTGGCAGTCCTGGTCCTGGCCAAAGGGTAAAAGCTCCTGAAGCGAGCGGTCACTGTGAGGCCGCGCGATCCAAAATCAATCTGTCAGCTGTTGCATAACTTGATTCCAAGGCTTGAACTTGTAAGCCCTTGCCAAGGGCGCGTCCTGAAACCCAAAGTTGAAGCCAAAGGGGTTGGAGGCAGCAGCTTCAGACGGATTCCTGGCGACACAGCTCGATACGCCTCTGCCAAGCCCCGACTTGGACGTTGCCTTCCTTTAATCAAAGTCCCATTGAGAGCATCAACTGTTCTAACACGTTTAAACAGCTGAAGCACGTGGGACATGAGCAACATGGTGGCGGGAAAACCAAAAAAAAACCTACCTGTTCTCACTTCTCTTGTGCTTGAAGCGTTGCCAGGGGTGCGCATCCGCTGCTTCTGGAAGCGGGGCAGCTTCCGGCGGCTTCGCGTCCTCCTTGGCGCTGCCAGCCATCGCTCCATCTGGGTATGAGCCAAAATTAAACCACGGGGGGACCGCAGATTTTAGTCTATGTTATCACTTACCAATTTCCATTTTGGGTACCTATTTTTGTCCCACCACGATCTTTCAGATTGCGCGAAGCATGTTGCTGCCATCGCCACTTCTGCAGCTTGCAGCTAGGCCAGAAATGAAGTGACAAGCTGATTCATCCACACAAGGAGGATATTGGAGGATCTGTCCATCATTGCAGGCACAAAACCACGCTGAAGGCACCTTTCCCAGACTCAACGAGCTCTGCATCGAATCTCCGGTCTGAGAGCCCCACACCTGGTTTTTGGGGCCCGCGCTGCTCCTGCCTTCTTGCCTTTGCGTTTGGCAGCACGCTCTCGTGCCTCGGCTGTGCTGGACATCGAAAAGCTGTGAGATCTACTGGAATTTGATCGCAACTTAACAACCACGGCAGTGGCTAGCAGAATGGCATCTAAGTGGGCCACCCCACCCGCAGCTGTCACGCCTGCGCTGGGTCAATCAGCAGCTGTCAGCTGGCTCCATGACACAGACATGCTGGTTCTGGGACATCTCAAGCATTCCGGGTGAATAGGGGAACCCCACAAAGTGATTGGTTTCCTTTCGGTGTCCCTTTAACCCGATCCTTTTTTTTGGAACCGAAAAGAAACACAGGCCACTGTGCGACCAAAGAGCATCCCCTTTTAGGAGGGCTTCAAATCCCATTTGCTTTTTGCCGGCTCTGGCTGGGAGGGTTGCTGTGCAACCTGCAACGCGTCCGCCTCTGCGCATGCGGCCTAGGGCTCCACCCTCCATGCGCTCCTTCCTGAGTTCAGCTGCACCCGCAGCTTCCTTCACTTCCCACATGTCTCACTTGCCCAAAGGACCTGGAAACAAGAGGAAATACAAGGAGGATCTTTTGCAAAAGGTCGGCTTTGGGCAACCGAGATGTTCAAGCATGAGCTTGGGTCAAGAAGTATCAGCATCTGTCAGCATCTTCTCACCATTTCAGGTCCCAATCCGGCCCCAATCGCCAAAGGGTTGCACAGTGGGTCCCAAGCAACAAGCTGGATGAATTATAATATTTCACCAACCTGAAATAAGGTGGTTGGGGGGCTATTCCCCACAGCACCATTTGGGGTGAGGTCGTGTGAGGTCGTAAAAATTCACCCAAAAGGCCCGCAGCAGCTCGAGGCCGTTGGCAAAGCTGTCACTAAGAGTCCAACTCTTTGGCTATGATCTCCTGGGCTTCCTCCTGCCGCTTGGCCAGCTTCTCCTCCTGGACATGCGGACCAGGAGAACCCGTCTGCAGGAGAGCCCGTCTGCCTTGTCAAACGGGCAGCCATCTTGTTGAATTCAAATGAATTCGAAGAACAACGTCATGTCAGTGTCTCCAACCTGTCTGCCTACTGCGCATGGACATCCAACAGCAACGATTGCTCTTATGAAAATGTTCAGCACGCAGGATGTAGACTCGACTCCAAACCCATTGGGTTTCAGCGGCTGAGTGGTGGACAGAGTCGCTCTCACCATAGACATTGTACTCCTCACCTGGCAGGACCACAGCCGAGCTATGTGGGCCAAGCTGCTGGTCCCCAGCTTGCAACGCTGAGGTTTCCGTGGGTTCGATAGCCCTGGCTCCCAAATGACCGGCTGGTCCCATTGAGCGGGAAGTAGCGTCGTTCCAGCGAGGCTTTCCCATGTTAAGGACCCTCTGATGCATCCGCAATATGTCTCCAAGAGTTGCCGGAAAGGCTGCTGCCCTCTTCCTTGTCCTCCTGGCGCCGGGGCTCCAGTAGTAAAAAGGCACAAGGCACGTGCAAGCACGGCCTCGTTCCCACCGAGCTTGAACAAGTCCTGGCCAAAGCGTCTTTGGAAAGGCCAACAAACCACCGATCTCCCAACATGCCGCGGAGAGACGCCTCGAAGTTGAAGCCAAAACCCTCGAAGGCGCTGGGCTCTTCCTCCACCCTTGCACCATCTCTTCAAAGTCAAGCCCCCCCAAAAAACGCAGGCATGAACATCAAAGGCTTTGACCCAAAGCAGTGCGATTTCTCTTCGGAGCATGGCACTAGTTGGGCTGAGGTGAAACTCGACATGTGGCCCATGGGTGCTCGCTTTGGAGTCCATGAGTCTCACAGTTTGGCCAGGCCCTTCCTCACAGTGATTGGAGCTGCTGTTGCAAGTCCGTTTGCTGCGTCCTCGAAAAAGGCAACTTGATCGCAGGGAAAACTCAAGGGCAGGGCATGGGGTATGTGACAGTATGTGTAGCGGGGAGCCGGTAGGGCGGAGAAATCGCAAGTTGCATTTTCCGGCTGAACTCGTAGATTTGTGGCACTCTGACCGTTCAAGCATCGCGAAAGCCAATTAGGAATACGGATGCTCGATCAGTATGAACTTTGGCGCTTGAGTTGATATTAAAGGGCAATGCTCGCTGCCAACGGTTGCCCTGCAAGTTGAAAGTTTGGAGCTGGGCTTCAACGTTTCATGAACGAATCACGCAGAAAGTCCTCGCATCACTCCATAGCAACTCTAGGGATATGAAATGGAGAAGTGAGGGTCGCAAATGACTGGCCTTCAGGCTGTCGCATACCAAAACTAGCACTTCGAACCATCCCCACCCAGATTCGTGCCGCCATTCCTTCCCATGCACATGCGATATGCAATGGTTGAAGCCCATTGCCTTGGAACGCGCCAGGCGCATGCTGTCTAGTTCGTAACGCGAGGGATGCGAGGGCAAACCATGCCGCAGCTTGTTGGGACACGTGAGTCATAATCAAAACCCCTGTATTAAAATGGTCAACCCAGAACCATGTAAAGAATTCAGAAGGCAGCCGCAGCTTTTGTGGTTGGGATTGTCCCTTACTAACCTTCGTCTACCCGGGTTTTGATTGTGGCTCACGTGTTTTTGCTCATCTAGCAATGATGTTTCGCCATCTTTGGCTTTTGAACTTTCCCTTGGTCATGCTTGTATCCAGCATCGCTGAAAAAGCTGCGATTACGTTTGCGTGATTGCAGCCGCCGAATCTTGCATGTGTAAACCAACTGCAACACCCCTGGCATGCCGCGCAACTGTTCTATTCCTGCATCCGTCTGCCGCAAAACAGGGCTGCTGCTTTAAGCTCTGCGTGATTCAACGGCAAAAACAAATTCGCAACGAACCCAAATCGCACAACATGTCTTCAGTGCAACAATGATTGTCCATTCTTGCAGGCAGCCTGCCGCAGTGTCCCACCCGTTGCGCCATCCCAAACAAACCTCGCTGGCAAACACAATACTCACATTCTCCGCTTGACCCCCTGAAAACTGCCGAAATTGGCTAGCCTTTTCTTTGGTAGCCAGGGCCAGGGCAACCGTTTCAATGAACACATTTATACCCCCCCCCCCCCACCTGACCTCCAACCCCCCCCCCCGGTTCTTCCCAGTTCCAGTCCCGGTGGTCCAGTTGGCGGCCGTTGCGTCCTGCATCCAGCAGCTGGTGAAGGCGGTGAGCCAACGATGCCACGGGTCCACGTGAGCGTTGCGCTGCGGGCAGCCCACGTGGATCGGGTTCAGCACCGCCTGGAGTTGGTGGTCCCAGTCGGGGAGACCACGGCACAGATATTTTTCCGGGTCTAAGAATCCAAAGGCTAGCCAAAAAAAGATAGAGGTGTATGCTTTTGGACCTGTCATTTGGCCAGCCCTGTGGCTCTTCATGCGCATTGCGGAGGGAAAGGGAACCTGCATGACGAAGAAAGGCCAGTGCCCCTACAAGCGGCAACATCAACACAACGAAATTGAATATGCCAATCCGGGTGCAAATGCCACAATCCGCGGGCCTTGAGCGTCAAAGAGAGCGAGAGAGAAGAGAAAGAGAGAGAGAAAAAAACAGAGAGAGAGAGAGAGAGAGCGAGAGGCAGAGAGGCAAAGAGGCAGAGAGGCAAAGCGTCAGAAAGAGAGAGGAAGAAAGAGGAAAACAACAGCACCGCTAGCAGTAGAATCGCCACAGCAATTGCGTGCCCCACTTGATTAGTCATGCAGGTCAGGCGTTGAAAGGGGCTGAGGCCACAGCCCTCAAGGGAAGATTGGGGGAAACGACCAAACAACGTCAACTACAATTCACACAAGGCCGCATCGCGCCCCAGGCTACGCGGGGGCATTTTGCAGGGCCTCCCTTCAGGGTAACATCCTCACGGGGATGGTCACTTCTCATATCTTCTCATATCCCTCCTTTAACATGGTACCTATTCAGAAGTTTTGCTGGACAATCAAGCAAATAGATCCAGCTTCCTCACAACTCAGTCGAACATAGATCCGCCTGCGCCATTGCGTCCCTGCACTCACACAACTCCAGCCAGGGGCAAGCTGAGGGGCGTGGCGTCAATGACTCGCAGGCCCTGCACAGAACAAAGAGGTTATTGGTGTACTGCTGCTCCATCACTGCTGCATGGGCTGAGGCACCGTTATTGCAAAAGTATTGTTGCACCATCTCAAGGCTGTTGTTCTCCAGAACCGCCTGCTGGCTGTTGGCGTAGTGTGTCCGCAACTCCTGTACTGAAACGTTGTTGCATGCAGAATCCACATTGGCTAAGGTGCTCTCATAATCCTCCACCTGTTGCTGCGAGAACAACCCTGACACACTGCAAGACGTTGTGAAGCTTGTTATCTTGCGGATCCGATGGTTGGAGCCGTCGGAATAGATCAGGTCGCCTTTGGCGTCCACGGTGCAACTCAGAGGATTGCTGAGGTAGCTAAAGGTCACACGAGCGGTTTGGTCGTTGAAGGCTTCCGCTTTGCTGTAACCTACCACTGCCTTGACCTGAGGTTGCGCCAGCTCTTTGATGATCAAACTTGTGCTGCCGGCAGGCAGCATCTTGATCACTTCCTTTTTCAGAAGGTAGCATCCTGGGAAAGCAATGCCCGTGCACCTTAGCTTGCTGATTGGCTCGTTGGAGCTTTCAGGGTTACAATTTCCTGAACCCTGCCACGGCCCCGCTTCAAGGCGTGGGCATTTGGCAGTGCGTTCAAGCACCCTTTCGGACCGCTCGGTTGTGCAATGGCAGGGCCTACTGGCTATAGAGAACAACAGGTTGGGCATACAAATGCGGATGCCAAGGCGCAGCACGTCCCTCAAGCAAAGCTCCTGACAGCCCATCAAGTCCAGGCCTTTCTCCAAGTGAGGTCCGCTGATTGTGTCCTGAGAGCATGCCAAACAAAGTCACGCAGCCCACACCAAGAATTGCATTTCAAGCGCCTTTTGTTGAAACTCCAACCGAAATATGCTGACTCCCCATCATCGAATACGGTAACGTGCGTGACGTGCGCCTGTTGCGACACACTTTTGCATTTCCGAATGAAGAAGATCAGTGCAGCCCTCAAAATGACCCCCGCCACCCCGCGGCAACGAAGACATGTCCTTGGAGCCCACGATGCTCTGCGACACGTAGATGCCATCCGGGTCCCCGGCCAAACGGCTGGCTGGAACCCCTGGGCCCACGAACAAGTTCAGGGCCTGCCAGGAAAATGGCTCAGCACGCAAGCAAGCCATAGTTTCGCAAGCACAAAGGACCTGGATATAGGTTCACCTTCTTGGCACCTCTCAAAAATGGGCCAAAATGGGAAAACCAAAAGGGTCACCAGGTCGGCTTTGGGTACCTGAGTGGCGGCCAGAGATCATGTAAAAGCTGATGGATGACCAGCTTCTGCAGTCTCAGGAGGGGTCTGAAAACAACTCAGACAGCACCCACAGACAACTCATATCTCAGTGGTTTAGAAAGTACAGCTACGCACAACTTGCGCGCAAATTGTGTGTCTTTCACAACTCCATCGCGAAGCTTTCGCGGAGGTATTGCCAACAAACACCGATGGCCGCCGAATACTAAACTCCTTACAAAGACCTTTAGAGCCACTCCCATATATCGTCTCTGCCCCTGCGGCTTGCAAACCACAGGTCGAAATGGCAAGCAAATCTAAGAAGTGCAATGCTGCCTACCCGACCTACCCGGCTTTGCGAGCGTCCCTTTCGGCAGATTTGGTCATTGGCTCATGCTTTCCCATAGTTGCTGTCTGCGACTTTCACAAGAACCAAGCGAAGCGCGCCTTAGCACGGTCAACCTCAACAGACAGGTCTACCTGGCGCTGGCTGAAGGGCGCGACGGTGCGGTCAATAGTGTATACGTAGAAGGGCTGGCTCTGGCTGTAGAAAATGCATGGCTGGCCGTTGCTCAAAAGCTGTGGATTGCTGCTACTGGCACCTTTGACCATGAAGCCAGTACAAGTTTGGTCGTATAGGCATCGGGACTTGCAAAGGTCGATCTTGTCCTGGCTGCTGAACCGAAGCTCTCAATGCTCACCCTCCCCCCCCAAAAAAAAGAGAGGACAAATTCAAAGTGAGACTTGGCCAAGTGTCGAAACTTACGCTGTCCACCTCTGGCTCAACTCCAGCAACAAGGCTCTCCAGCTCCTCAAACACGGTGAGTACTGTGACAGGTACTGGGGGGCCACCGCCTGAAGGGCATGGCACACACGGAATGCCACCTATGTGAAGGAGGAAAGGTCCCCGGCCAGCTGCAGCCAAGAGACTTTTTCTTTCAAAGCTTGTCAGCATGGCTTTGGCAAATAGCTACTCTCTATCACACTGACCGTCTGCAAAAATGATTGCTCTGCAGTTGAATTCTTAACCCGCTGAGAGAACGTGCAGGCCGCGCCTGGGCCGGTCGGCCCCTGAAAATATCCCTGCATCACGGTGAGGTTGCTCACGCTCTGCAGGCCGCAGACATAGCCAGAGGCCCCGAGGTCGGACAGGAAGGACCGAAGCTTCGGCAAACCGCAACAATAGTCTCCGCAGCGGGCCTGGCCACTGCCTGTGTCCACAAATCCTTTCAAAATGGCGGTGCCTTCCAGGAAGAAGCCCGCAGTTCGCTCTCGGGCATTGTCCATGGAGTAGTGGTATGGCGTGTTCTGCTGGACCCACAAGTCTTCAGATAGCTGCG